ACTCTTCTCAGTGGCAGGCAGCTATGGATGCAGAGATGGCTTCCTGGAAGTCCACAGGCACCTACGTTGACGCTGTCCCCCCTCCTGGGGCGAACATCGTCAGTGGCATGTGGATTTTCAGGGTGAAGCGGCCGCCGGGTTCTCCGCCTGTCTTCAAGGTGCGTTACGTGGCTCGTGGCTTCAGTCAGCGACAGGGAGTTGACTACTTTCAGACCTTCTCCCCCACCCCGAAGATGATCACTCTTCGGGTACTACTGCACGTTGCTGCTCACCGTGACTACGAGCTGCACTCTCTCGACTTCAGCACTGCTTTCTTGCAGGGCAGCCTGCACGAGGAGATCTGGCTGCGCCGCCCACCTGGCTTCACTGGGTCTTTCCCTCCTGGTACCCAGTGGAGTCTCCGGCGTCCAGTCTACGGTCTCCGCCAGGCGCCACGTGAGTGGCACGACACAGTGAGGACTACGCTTGCGGCTCTTGGGTTTGCTCCTTCTACTGCCGACCCATCGCTGTTTCTGCGCACCGACACCTCTCTGCCGCCGTTCTACATCCTCGTGTACGTCGACGACTTGGTCTTTGCCACAGCTGACACTGCTGGACTCACCTACGTGAAGTCCGAGCTGCAGAAGAGATACACGTGCACAGACCCGGGTGAACTGCGCAGCTACATTGGCTTGCAGATCACCCGGGACAGAGCACGCCGCACCATTACCCTGACTCAGTCACACATGGTGCAGCAGGTCCTTCAGCGCTTCGGCTTCACGTACTCCTCGCCTCAGGCCACTCCTCTGCCTACTCGCCACTCGCTCTCAGCTATGCCTTCGGATGAGTCCGTAGAGTCGAGTGGCCCGTACCCAGAGCTTGTTGGCTGCCTCATGTACCTGATGACCTGCACTCGACCTGACCTTGCATACCCCCTTAGCATTCTTGCACGCTATGTTGCTCCTGGGAGACACCGACCAGAGCACATGGCTGCAGCGAAGAGGGTGTTGCGCTACTTGTGCAGTACGTCGGGCATGGGGCTAGTGCTTGGAGGGCGGAGTCCAGTGGTCCTCACTGGGCACGCGGACGCTTCTTGGGCTGACGACCAGGCTACGCAGCGGTCGTCACAGGGTTACACCTTCAGCGTTGGTTCCGGCTCTGTTTCGTGGCGGGCTACTCGCTCGTCTTCTGTTCTCGGCTCAAGTTGTGAGGCTGAGATCTACGCAGGGGCCATGGCTGCACAGGAGCTTCACTGGCTCACCTAGTTGCTTACCAACCTTGGAGAGCAGCCTCGTTCTCCTCCAGTCCTGTACGTAGACAACAAGGCCATGCTGGCCTTGTGTCGAGAGCAGAGACTGGAGCACAGAACAAAGCACATTGCTCTTCGCTACTTCCTTGCTCGTGAGCTACAGCAGCGTGGTCAGTTGCCGCTTGCCTATGTGGCCTCTGAGGCCAACACTGCTGATGTCTTCACCAAGGCACTTGCGCCTTGTGATCATCAGCGCTTCTGTACGCAGCTGGGTCTTGTGCCTGTCTTGCCTCACTTGCTCACCTCTTGATGCTGCTTGTACTATTGCCTATAGTTATACCTGCTCTTGCTTGTCTAGCTTTTATATATCTATACTCCTGCATGTGAACTGGCCCTGTGGCCTTGAACTTGTGCTCGGACTGTGTGGTGACGTTGTGATCCACCCTGAGCTTGCTTTGCTTTGCTTTGCTTGATTGGTCTTGTGACCCCTTGTTCTCCCCCACTTTGCCTATGGGGGTGTGTCAGAATATTGTAGCTTATACATTTTGTGTAGGCTATAGTGGGGCATCCCATAGGGGGTACAACCCAATTAGGGTTAGTACTTGTACTCTCTTCTTTCATACTGCATTCATTCTCGTTCATATCTTCTTAGGCGCTTCGGTAAGCAGCATTATACTGGCTGTGCATTTAGTTGCTAAAACCCCCATCGATCTCCAGAATACTAGAGCCTACAAACACTATGCCATATATATATGACAGTACCTACAGGAACTATTGCAGAAAGTGAAATTTCCAGCCTCGCCCACCTTTCGCCTCTACTGCGACAACCAGAGCGCCATCAAGATCACAGGGTTCGTGAACCGCACGAAATACATCGCGTTTCTATTCTTTTTCGTCAACGACGAAATTGACCAGGGCAAGGTTGACCTTGTCAAAATTAGAAGAAAGAAAGAGGGTTTGACTAGCAAGAATGGGGATACAAATAGCAAACCCTAACAGGGTTGTACTCGCTATAGAGCACCCCACTACAGGCTAGTTAAGAACATTCTGACACACCCCCATAGCCAAAGTGGGGTGTAATCAGCAGAGCAAGCAAAGCATAACAAGCTCAGGGTGGATCACAATGTCACCACACATTCTGAGCACAAGTTCAAGAAGCAATAGTTTAAAGTTCACAATTATGAGCAGAGCTAGTGGTAGTCACAACGGGCAAGTGAGGAGGAGGAGAGAGAGTGAGAGGAGAGAAGATAGGAGGCGACGGCTGAAGCTGCAGACACACGGGCAACAGGAGGCACACTGGCACAGCGGCTACCGGGCGAAGCCCCCGGATTACTGGAGTAACTGGCCCCGCGGCTAAAGTAGCGGCAGACGAGCAACGGACCCACGGGCGGCTGGCACAGCTGGCTACGACTGGGCTACCGGGCGAAGCCCCCGGAATACAGGTGCTGCTGACGACACGACGGCAACCTCCATGCAGCTTCCCTAACTATCCAACTCCCCCTGGCACACACCCGCTGCTACATCGCTAGCTCCACTCCCACGCACCCCCCTTAAACCCTAAACCCCAGTCTCCCACACATCCACCCCCCTCAGCGACAGCTGCAGCAGTGGGAGACGAAGGAGGAGGAGGAGCAAAGGGAGGAATGAAGAAGTGCCACCCCCATACTCGCCACCCCCTACTCGCCACTCCCCAAACCCTAACACAGGCAGGGCGGGATGGCGGGTAGGGAGGTTACGGGGAAGGGGGGGGGGGGGAACCGACGCGCGGCCTCCTAGGGCGCCAAGACAGGCAGCAGAAGGGGCGGCGCTCGCCCCCCTCCCCCAGGTAGCGGCCCCCGAGGGAGCCGCGACGGGCGACGGGAAAAGGGGGGGCCGCAGGCGGGGCCGATGCGGGCGGGGACGGGGCCGCTGCGCGCGGCAACGGGGCGGCCGATGCGGGCGGGGACGGGGTCGCCGGGGCGGTGACGGGGCCGCTGCGGGCGGCGACGAGGCCGCTGCGCGCGGCGACGGGCCCGCTGCGGGCGGCGACGGGGCCGACGCGCGGGTCCCCGTCGCCCGTCGCAGTGCCTCCCGAGGGCGACGCGCCGAGCGACGAGGCAGAGGCCCGCCGCGCGCCTCGGGGCGCACAGCGGGCAGAGAACCGCCGCGCGCCTCGGGGCGCACGGCGGGCAGAAAACCGCCGCGCGCCTCGGGGCGCACGGCGGGAAGAAAAACTGCCGCACGCCACGAGGCGTGCGGCACAGAGAGTAGCAGTAGCAGTTGCAGCAAAAGCAACGAGGTGGTGAGCCCACCCACAGGATCGATCCAAGGGGATCGACCTGCTCTGATAGCATGTCAAAATTAGAAGAAAGAAAGAGGGTTTGACTAGCAAGAATGGGGATACAAATAGCAAACCCTAACAGGGTTGTACTCGCTATAGAGCACCCCACTACAGGCTAGTTAAGAACATTCTGACAGACCTTCCGTACTGCCCCACAACTGAGATGGCAGCTGACTTCCTCATTAAGCGACTGCCACGTCATCAGTACAAGCACTGCTCCGACCTCACGAGAGTAGTCAAGAGAGTCAGCCCTCTGCGCGACCAGGAATAAAGGGGAATGTTACGATATGGAATTCAATGAGTAATCATTCCTGTATGCTGCAGAAAGCCGACTCTACCGAGTACGAAGTTGGGGAGTCAGAAGAATCGAAGCGAAACAACAACCGTCTGATCAAGCCCAATGCACGCAGAAACATTTGAATTGAAATTAGCGGGAACATGTTTGAAACGGGTTCCTGCGCCACACGGTTTCAATTTCGATGCAATAATGGAATGTACCCCTTAGAATACATGGCTAGTCTAGGTCGTTTCACATTCTTTTGTAATTCCTATTTAAACCCGGTGTATGCATGTTATTATCATCTCAGTCATTTACATTCACTCTGACCTGAGGTCGTTACTTCCGCTGCAACATTACTCTCTGCGATCAACCCTGAGTGTTCCTTTCGCTAAGTCCCACTTGGGATTGTGACACCTTTGGCCACTTTCAACTTAACGGCTTGACCAATCAAATTATTTAGTAGTTATCTGTACAGCGGTATAGAGTTTGTGTTGGTTTAGCCAGAACTATTCAGTGCTACTATTTCGAATATCAGAAATTGCAGAAGCCAAGCAATGAACCCCGCAGCAAAGGGAGGAGGTGTGGCGGGAGGCCAACAAAAAAATTGGCGTTCGTTTCGCGCCGAGCGTGTATTCTGCAGTTCAGCGCTTCGTTTGGCCCCTGATTGAGCGGTTCGACCGTTGTTGTTATCCGACAGCTGCAAGTCGTTCGGCTCCACATCGAATGGCAGGAGCTGGTTCGGAACAGCAACTTCTTTAGAAGCATTTTCACTATTGTCGCGCTTGCGTAGGCTCAGCAGTCACACCGCGCAAATACCCTGCGCTTCGCTTTTCGTCCTAGGGCTTTGGCAGCAAGGGTTTGTCAAACAGCCCTTGCCGAACCGAACCAAGCCATCACGGTCAAGGTCTGGGAGATGCTGCGACGCAGGCCTTGGTTGTGTCGTGGCGCGCAAGCAGTCCCGTCAGGGCACGAAGAGCCATCATCAGCCCACATTCACAAAAAGCCCAACTCAACCTTGTTGGGTTACTTATTGTTTCTGTTGCTCCGCCGTTGCTTTACTTCAGAAGCTTGCCATTGCACATCCCAATTTCTGACAACCTTGCGCGCCTCATCTCGTTCTCAGGCACTGCTGGATCTAAACAAACCTACGTGGAACCTGTTGACGATTAATTATGCGGAACGCTCTGTTCCTGGCTCTTCTCATAGGGCTTTGTGCAACTGTATCGGTGTCGCAGAGCCCTTATGACACGTTCCGTCTCTTCGAGCGCTACCCCAGCTCTCCTAACTACGCTATTCCCATGTGCTGTCCTACCCATCCCTCCGCCTACTGCGACTTCTACTTCGATGGCTTTCAGAACTCAGTGCCGTCGTTCCACATCAAAGACGACATTAAGGGGGATCACGCGGTGCTCACCATCACGCGCGAGCAGGTTCACTGGGTGGGCAGCATGGACTACTTTGCGCCCGGCATCCGCGACTACAAGACCAACGGCCTGATTGCTGCCGACTCCACCAACGGCACGTACCTGCAATGCCCCCAACGCTTGCCTCCTGACGAGCATCCCGGGGACCAATTCTACCTCAATCAGCGGGAGGACGCGATAGCACACGTGTACGTGCGAAACTGGAAGCCGCAGTCGCAGTGGCATCACGGCATCGACTGGTTCAACGATAGGTGCATCTTATTGCCCTTCACGCATGCCGCGGTCCCAGGTGCCCAGGGCCCCATCAACTTGAATAAGGGTGACAATAGTACGGACTACCCTGAGGAGAGGCGCTGTGTCGTATTCCGCACCCGTGCATGAGTGCGGATAGCGACGTCGCAAGGGAGGCGACGGCGACGGTCGACGGCGGTTGGCGGTGGCGGCGGCAGGCCGAGAAGAGCGGCGCTGCTGAGCGTTTGCTGCGTCTCCCCTCCCCCTTGCGACGGCGGTTCTGGAAAGCTTTCTTTCGCCACGTCAGCGCTGTGTCGCTCTCTTGGCGGCGGAAGCGCCATGTGGAGTGTTTTGAAAAGGGCTGCTAGGCCTTCCTATCGCATCTCTGTCATGTCGCTCTCTTGTTGCTGTCCATTGTGGAGGGTTTAGGGGAACTGGTAGAAAGGGTTATGCGACAAGCCTTATGTGTACAAAAACTTCTGTGTAGCATGGTATTTCAGTGAAAGGCTGGGTGCCTCAGTTCTTTCAACTTTCCTGCGACAAACCTTGGCAAATGAACAATACACGGAGAGTCGCCAGGAGAAGGAATACTGTTAACTCTGCTTATTTTCCCTCGTCATAAATGGCAGGACTACTCTGGTCATGCTTGCTGGATGCAACTGATCTAAGCTGATTTTTTTATAACACCTGTTGGCCCTGTGTAGGTAGTGTTCCTGTAATAATCTGCACTGGCTCCATCAGTCAGTAGTGCCCACCAGGGACAGCTGTTCTCATAAAAAGATGCTGGTATATGATATTTTGGGGGGGTTGTTCTAAGGATGTGCAAATACAAGGCTGAGAAGTCTAGGTGAGTACATAAAGATAGACAATGCTAGATTCACGTTAGAGTATGTTGACGGCTCTGTACGGAATTGTGGAACACGAGTACCGCATGAATCGATTATAGGGTATGCAGGTTCCTCTCAGAAATCGAATTCTGTTTGAATACGATATCTGTGGTTTTCTATCTACAAAAAGCGATTATGACTGGGGGAGCTCCAGAATGACATGCAAAACTTATTTATTCCCTTAAGTTGAGAACGTCTATTTGTTACAGCCTAACTGGTACATGATTTCTTACCCGCCTGCCACACTGTCAGCCCACAATGTTTCTGGACACTGAAACTAGGCGCGAAAATTTAAAACAGGGCAGTCAGGCGCCTCCACACACAGGAGGCAGTGAATGTAGCAGTGCTTCTCGATTGGAAACAATTCAACCAGTTGTTGCTTTGTGCCTTCCCTGCCTGCTTATTGCTCATTGTAGAACAGAACTTCACCTGCGCCGAAGTACATTGAGGATTCCTAAAATCAGTTTCTTTGATTACAAGGTGCGATGGCTACGATTAGAATTTTGGGGTTCATGGTCGCGCTCGCCTTTGCGAGTTCAAGCACGTCGGTCGTCGGAGTCCCCATGAAAAAGCGGGACCCTTGCCTGCTGGACGGCGAAGGCGCTGCGGCGGGTGTGGCACCCAGTGCGATACCGAGCGCTCGAGCATACGCGTCGACGGCTACAAGCTCGCTCGAAGTGCCGGCCAGCAACAGTACCACAGGAAAAACGAACTTCGTGGATGGCGTAGACAGCAGGTCTGCCGTGACCTGGAGCTCGAGCAGCAAGAGCATAAACAGTGCGGGCAACGGCAATAGCAGTAGCAGTGGTACGAGCAAGCCCAGTAACAGTACGGGCAGCGGTACGAGCAAGCCCAGTATCAGAATGAGCAGCGGGGCGGGTATCACTACGAGCAGCGGTACGGTGAAGGCGGGTAACAGTACGAGCAACGGTACGGTGAAGGCGGGGAACACTACGAGCAGCGGTACGAACAAGGCCAGTAACAGCAAGAGCAGCGGTACGGTACAAACCGGGAACAGTACGAGCAGCGACACGGTAAAAGCGGGTAACAGTACGGGCAGTGATAAGAGCAAGCCTAGTAACGGTACGAGCAGCACGGTGAAAACCAGTGACACTACGAGCAGCAGTACGGTGAAGGCGGGTAACAGTACGAGCAGCATTACGGTGAAGGCGGGTAACAGTACGAGCAGCATTACGGTGAAGGCGGGTAACAGTACGAGCAGCATTACGGTGAAGGCGGGGAACACTGCGAGCAGCGGTACGAGCAAGGCCAGTAACAGCACGAGCAGCAGTACGGTACAAACCGGTAACAGTACAAGCAGCGACACGGTAAAAGCGGGTAACAGTACGGGGAGTGATAAGAGCAAGCATAGTCACGGTGCGAGCAGCGGCACTGTAAAAACCGGTGACAGTACGAATAGCGGTACGGTAAAGGCGGGTAAAGGTACGAGCAGCGGGTTGAGCAAGCCCAGAAACAGCACGAGCAGCGATACGATACAAACCGGCACTAGTACGAGCAGCGGTACGGTAAAGGCGGGTAACAACACTAGCAGTGGTACGAGCAGGGCCAGTAACAGTACGAGCGGCGGTACCGTGAAGCCCAGTAGCAATACAACCAGCGGTAACGAAAAGGCCATCAACAGCGGTATGGTAAATGCGAGTAATAGTACAAATGCCAGTAACAGTACGAGCAACGGTACGGTAAAGACCAATGGCAGTACGAGCAGTAGTAAGGCAACAACCAGTAACGGTGAAAGCAGTGGTACGAGTAAGACCAGAAACGATACAAGCAGCGGTACGGATAAGGCTGGTAACAGACCCAGCAACGGTACCGTTAAGACCAGTAACAGTACGAGCGGCAGTACGAACAAGGCCAGTAGCAACGGTACGTTTAGCGGTAACAGTACCAGCAGCAGTTCGAGCATGGCCAGTGGCAACGGTACGTTAAGCGGTAACAGTACGAACAGCGGTTCGAGCAAGGCGAGAAACAATACGAGCAGCGGCACGGTAAAGGAAAGTAGTAGCTCCGGCAAGAACATCAGCAGCACAAGCAGCGGCGAGGAAAAGGGTGGCGGGATCCCAGGCGGGGCGAGCAGCGGGACCAACGGCGGAAAAACCGCAGGTGGAAAAACCGGCGGAGTGACGAGCGGCAGCGGCGGCGGCACGGCTAAAGCGGCGTCCACATCCGTGGGAGGGTGCGACGTGGCCAAAGGAAGGTGCGTGCTACCTCCACGTTGCCTCGTGCTGCTGTCACCCCCATGCTACATGGGTAGAAAGAAGCAAGGCATGCTGCTTGCAGCAAGCTGTGTGACGTTCGCGGGTAGGTCTGGTTAGGCAGCACGTGGAGGCATGGCAGGCGCACGGCATTCCATAGGCCCCTCATGACGGACATTCTCGCACCTCATACTCCCACCTCGTGCGTGCATGCCATGCCATGCCACATGCCATGCCACAAGACATCGTGCCGCATCTCATAACAAATTCCACGCCACATGCCCTGGGCAGATGGGTGCCGTCACATGAACCACCTCCGTACACGGGATTCACATGCACAACGCTGCGCGCGTACGAGAACTGCCAGAAGAACAAGCGCCCCGACTCCGCTTACCTCAACTGGCAGTGGCAGCCCGACGACTGCGACTTGACAAGGTGAGCCGTCCGCCTCTCACTCCATGGCACCACTCTGTTCCCTCTCCCTTTCAGCTTGCAGCGTCTACTTTCTTAGGCAATGGTGGGTCTGGTCATCTCGCAACAGTGAAATTTGCTCCCCTGTGCAGGTTCGACCCAGCTGCATTTGCAAGCCGCTTCAGAAACAAGGTGCTTGGCATTTCAGGCGACTCGTTCTCCTCCAACTTTGGTAGCTCCATCCGCTGCATTATCGCCTCCTTCACCACCACCAAGGTACCTCGCAATGACATTATTTTGAGACGTAACCTTGTCTTTCTTTCAAATGGAGGATCTCTCTCTCTCTCTCTCTCTCTCTCTCTCTCTCTCTCTCTCTCTCTCTCTCTCTCTCTCTCTCTCTCTCTCTCTCTCTCTCTCTCTCTCTCTCTCTCTCTCTCTCTCTTTCCGTCTGTTTCTTCCGTTTGTCTCTTACTCTCATCTCTCTCCCCGTCAACCCCTCACACACGCACATGTCCTCACGTCATCACTTGTTTCCATGGTGCCGGCCCCTCGCCTGCCATGTGTGTGCAGGACTTCACGTCCACGTGGTACGGGCAGGATGTGCGTGGGTACAAGGTGCCGGGGTACAACATCACCTTCCTCTCGCTCTCTGCTGTCTTCCTAGTTGACGCCACGCCCATGGTCAGCCCATGCACACGCAACAATGCATGCTACTCATGCGTCAATTCGCTGCACTCGTGTCATGCAGCACTCGTCTGACTTGAGTCCTACCTGTCCGTGCTACCTGTCCGCTCTGCAGGGTGCTGCCAAGAGCAGTGGCACCTGGAAGATTCACCTGGACAAGCCCAAGGAGGTTTGGGCCTCCGTGCTTCGCTTCCTGGACGTCTTCATCTTCACCACCGGCCATTGGTTTGTAAATGTGCGCCCCCCATGTTTGACCTCTCTGCTTGCTCGCATGCTGCCAACCCTTCTGCTATTTGCTGACCCTTGCATGTCTATACCTGCCCCTCAACAGGCCCCTCCCAAGCTGCGGCAGTTCTACATGAAGGGAGTGCTTCAGAGTGACATGAGTCCTTTCCAGGCCATGAGCGTTGCCCTTTCCACAGTGCGGGATTTCATCATCAACTCTGACTACCGTGGTGTGCCTGTCATGCTCTCATACTCGCCATACCATTACGAGGAAGCCTATGGAGGCGACCCAAAGAAGAGCTGCAAAGGAGCACAGAGGCCGTTCACAGATGCAGAGGTGGCTGTTGCGGAGAAAGGCACAGAAGCACTGGATGCAGTGGCCACGCAGCTTGGCGTGTTTCAACAAGTGACAAAACCACCTGTGAAGGCAGATAAAAGAGCCACCTTTAGGATCATGGATGTGACACGGCTTAGCCTCATGCGGCCGGATGCTCATTTGCAGAATTACACTGGCGCATCAGGTACCGACTGCTCCCACTGGTGCAACCCTGGACTACCAGATACATGGTCAGACATTCTGTATAATGTACTGATGTCATCGTGAGCAGTATTTTATAGGTTAGTTGCAAACCCTTAATGCTACTAGCAACATGCCATTGTATTATGCGGGACTGCATATAGTACATTGTCCCATATTTGTATATGCACCATGCTATTGACATTTGTTAGTTGATAATGTGAATTTGGTCACGGTTGTTACAATCCCAAGTGGGACTTAGCGAAGGATCGCTCAAGGTTGATCGCAGAGTAGTGTTTGCAGCAGAAGTTTGAATCCCAGGTCAGAGTGAATATAAATGACTGAGTTGATAGAAACATGCATACATCGGGTCAGGCCCTCAGATTCGTTTTTGGCCTGTCTGATTCGTCAGACTAGTACACAATTTTAGTCTGAAAATCTCAGAGTTGGTATAAAAAAAAGGCTGAAATTTCAGAGTGTCCTAAAAAAAAAGTCTGATCATTCAAAAACAATGTATTCAATGTTTCATCGGAATGTAATCAATGTTTCATTCATCTGCTACCGAAACACACAACACTAAGGGGATTTCCGATAAAACATGCTCTGACAGGGCGAATATATGTGTCAGGGCAAATCTTGTGGTGCGAAAGAGCGAATCTGCAATGTCAGGGCGAGTTTTCTGTGATTGGTCGAAAAGTGTTGTGCTCTGACAGCGCAAATCTGTTGTGTCAGGGCGATTTTGCTATGATTGGGCGAAAATCTTGTGCTGTAAGGCTCGGATTTGCTGTGTCAAGGCGATTTTGCGTCGACATTGCGAATCTGTTGTGACCCGTAAGTCCAAATCACCAGTCAAGGACGCGTTTGTACTCTGAATGATCAGAGTACACTCTCAGAAAACTCTGAACTCTCAGAGTTAGCCTTAAAAAAAGTCTGAACATTACAGAGTTTGGGCCCAAAAAAGTCTGATTTTAACAGAGTACATTGGAAAAAAAGTCTGAAATATCAGAGTTTTTTGTGCAAATCAGAGAAAAAAGTCTGACTTCGTAGGGCCTGCATCGGGTTTATATAAGAGTACAGGGGAATACGAAAAGGCCTAGACTAGCCATGTACTCTAAGGGGTACATTCCCTTATTACAGCGAATTACAAACCATGCGGCACGGGAACCCGTTTCAAACCTGTTCCCGCTCTTTTCACTTCAAATGTTTCTGCTTGCATCGGTTTTGGTCTGTTGGGCTGAAAAAGGCCCTAAGGATCTTTACAGAGGATAACTCTGGGTAGGATACTTTGTAATAGCGGAAGCGTTTAATGAAGCTTTGTGAACCGACCTTGCACTAGTGTGTGAGAGCAAAGTAGATTAAAATTATATTGAAAGGATACAAGCTTATATAATAATACAGGGAATATGAAGAGATACGGTTATAACTACTTTTACTGTTGCTGTTGCGGTTCGATACAGTGCGACTCGGGCAACTGCTCTGTAACGAGTCAGTTGTGTGTCCTTAACTGTCGCGCTGTTCTTGTCAGGTCAAGGGCAGGCCTGTCGATTGACGGGCATATGCCCTTAATGCCTTGAAATTCCGGGTTACTTTCGCTCCAGCTCGACTGCATAAAGTGTTAGGATCGCATTGCACCCGTGCCACTAAGTGCCTCGTCAGACCCTTCCCCGGACGCGTTAAGTTCTCCAATCAGGCCTTCCCCACCCACTAAGTTTTGGTTTCCGGTTGTAGGCCCCCCCCCCCGAATTCTGCCTTCCCACCCCCACCCACCCCTCCCCCCCCCCCCCCCCCCACCCCCCGAGAGCGCGCCAACGGGATTTTTCCCTTAGCGTTTTCGAGCCAATCCCGTCCGTATCTGTAAAGTGGCTGAGACACACATGGAGCACTCGAACTTTCCCTTAGCGTCCAAGCCAATACTAGCTGGCCGCATGTTACAGCTGGGAGGACACATAGGCCCTGTTCGCCACGACCACGATATAGGCAAGGGGCGGGTGATGGGCGAGGGCTCCAGAAGGTGCGCCGGAAGATGCGAACTACGTCCGGGGGCTCGCCCCGAATGGAAATTTCTCCAAAGGGATCCGGAAGGGGGCCAAGGGGATCTGGCACCTCCCCCCCCCACCTTCGTTTAGGGCGGGACTTTTTTTCCCGCCTCTGATCCACAACCAGAGAAAAAAAGAAACAAATCAGCCCGGGTAAAAAGTGTCGAAAAAAGAAAAGGTCCTTCACAGCCCGGGTAAAAAGTGTCGAGAAAAGAAAAGGCCCGGGAGAATGTTTTCTCTCTCCATAACGGATTTCTTCTAGCTAAGTTGAAAGGAATAGAAGTCGTAATCGAGGTTCTTACTAACGTCGGTAAGGGGGGCTAGGCGCGATCGTAATTGACGGACAAGAGCAATGACGGACTTGAAGCAGCTGTCTTATCAGTGGGTGTTGAATGCCACTCGGGAGGGCGAAAATTCGTTGTTCCGGGCCGGTTCTGGTGACACGTTGGCGTTTACCCTGCCCTCAAATCCCCCGGCCATCCCGTTAGGCGCCTACGAAATTGGTGGTCTGCACGAGGGAGAGTCGATGGAGGGGATGGGGTTCCGAGCTGGCAGGACAGGAAACTGCCAGGCGCATTCTGGATCCCCCGCCCATCCCTTCGATGGCCCAGAAAAGTGGGTGTTCGCCACGACAGCGAGCCCTCCGAGGTTTGGGGAGGATCGTCAGGCTCGACAGGATTTTGTCGGTCTGACCGGCCCTAAAACCCTGATTTCACCCCTTTTCGAAGGTGCAGGGCGGATTCCAGATCCCCCGCCCATCCCTCTGAAGGCCCAGCAAAGGCGTGGCGAACAGGGCCATAGGATTAGCGAGCCTGAATTTGGCTAAGTTGATTGGCCGCATGTGTAGTGTCAGGTGTCTTAGACTTCTAATTTAAGTAGATAACTGCACTTGTCATAGTGTAAAGAAGTGTAAGGGCAAACTTCAGACATGCCCTGATTTCAAGTTCTGACTTTGGGGTGTGCCCGTGACCCTTAAGGGCGCCAAATCAATCACCTACCCCCAACCAAGGGTCAGATTGGGAGGAGCTGGGGAGCGCAAGTTCGAGCCCCAGGGACTTCGACAGGCCTGGTCAAGGGTCAGCGACCTTTGACTTTCGCGTAACTTCCTGCAGCCGATTCAACCTCCGAGGGTTGACTCGCAGGTGCTTCGGTGTAGGTTGCCTCGCTTCTGGTGCAATGTTTTGACACTGCTGAAGCGTTTAAGTTCCATTGTTTCCAACACTCCCCTTCGCTTCTGGAGTGTCGCTACTGGTGACGTGGCTCTGTCCAGTCAGCAGCATGCAGTATTCGAACTTCTACTTTCCGAGCTTCTTGGTCAAGTAATCGGCTGCCATCTCAGACGTGGGACAGTATGACAGTTCGAGTTTCCCCTTCTCGATCTCGTCCTTCACGAAGAAATAGCGCAGGGCAATGTGTTTTGTCCTGTTTGCGAAGCCGTTCTTGTTGGCGATGCGAATTGCTGACTGGTTGTCGCAGAACACGGTGAAGCTGGGTAACTCGGCAAACTTCGCTTCTTCCAGCAGTTCGCGAAGGTAAAGTCCCTCCTTGGTGGCTGAGCAGAGTGCGATATATTCCGCTTTAGCTGAAGACAGTGCGATTAACTCCTGCTTACTCGACTGCCAGGAGATAGGACCGATAGGCTCGAGGCGGTAGACATAGCCGGTGCGTGAGCGCCTATTGTCGGTGTCGCCGGCGTGATCGGCGTCGACGTAGCCGATTAGCTTGGTCGGTGTAGTTGCGTTTTTGTGATAAGTTAGTCCGATCGTCGCGGTGCTGACGAAGTAGTGGAGAGCGCGATCGAGTTCCGCCAGATGCTCTGCTTCAGGCTTCTTGAGATAGGTGGCGAGCTGACTCGCGGAGTAGGATAAGTCGGGACGGCATGTGACTGCTGCGAAGAGAAGACACCCGAGCTTCTTCTGATAGTCGCGTATGCCGGTAGGCTTGAGTAGAATAGATCGTTCCTTTTCGGTTCCTGACGTGTAGCGGTAAGGCGTGGAGAGGGCGCTTGGTGTGAAACCGAAGCGTTTTGCGATGGTGTCGGCGTATTTCTCGGCGCTGAGGTAGATCGCGTCCTTCCCTTCTCGGATGTTGAGTCCGAGATATTGCGTGATGGTAGATGAGACGGTGAGGGTAAGGTCCTTCTGCAGCTCCCCTTCGAACCACGTGGCGATGCTGTCGGTTGACCCAATGTAGAGGAGATCGTCCACGTAGACGATTAGGAGAACGTAGTCGCTTCCCTTTGTGAGGCGGTACATGCCCTGGTCATGCGGGAGTTGTTTAAAACCGATGCGGATAAGGCGGGTGTGCAGGTACTGCTGCCACAGTCGCGGTGCCTGCTTGATCCCGTAGAGCGACTTAAGCAGCTGACAGACTTGATTGGGTTCACCGTGGGAGCCGTGCGGGAGCTCGACGAAGATTTCTGCATCCACAGGTGCGTAGAGAAAAGCGTTTGCGACGTCGATTTGTCACAGTTTCTTTTTCTTCATGGCGGCGATGGCGATGAGGATTCGGAGTGAGGTGTGACGGCTGACCGGAGCGAAGGTTTCGGTGTAGTCTCTTCCGAGCTCCTGGTCAAAGCCGCGCACGACCCAGCGAGCCTTGAATTTGTCGATGGTGCCGTCAGCTTTCGTCTTCACACGGAAGACCCACTTCCCGGTAAGGATAGTCTTATTTTGTGCTACGCCGATGGGAACGATTTTCCAGGTGTTGCGCTCCTCCAGTGCCTTCAGCTCTTTGTCCATGGCTTCACGCCATTTCTCCCTATGTTCCCCCCCCAGAGCCTGTTGAACCGTCGCAGGCTCTTTAGGAATGGCGGCGCCATGGACTGCGGTGACGAGTCCAAAGATTTGGAGGCCACTCTATGTGTAGCGGGGGAGTGTGCCGGGGAGAGTGTTGTCCTCGGGATAGGCTGCTTCGTCTCCCTCTTCTGGATCAGGTATGAAGTTTGGTCCTATGCGTTCAGCTTCGTCGGTGTTGACTCTTGCAGGTGTTACGTAACCGTTGTCGGCGAAATGGTAGTAGATTTCGGCGTTGTTACTGTCGCGCGGGTTT